AGTCCCTTTCGAGTCATACAGCGACCAGTCGTCCCACTGCTCCGCATCTCCCGGTCCCCACTTCGACGGGGTAGGCGGCGGCCATGGAAGATATGCCCCACGTGGGATCGCTCCCCCGACGGCCCCTGTTAGGTCCGATGTAGTCACTGGCATTTCGGTGGCCGTCGTGACTAAAGAAGTGGACGTAACCGGAGTTACCTCCGTGGTTGGTGTTTTCTCCTCCCTCCCACTCATGACAGCCATCAGATTTGGGATGATAGAGAAAAGAGGATTCCTAACAAAATGTTGGATCCCCAGGCATTCGAAATAACTCCACGTTTGGATCAAAGTAAGGTTTATTTCAAAGCGATGGTTCAAACAGGAACAAGGACATTGTTAGGAATGACTACCAATACACATGGGTAACATAATAAAGGGATTTGAACCAGGTTAGAGCCAATGAGCCCAGTTCCCGCTGGTGGGAATAGAACTTGCAAATGCGTGCCCATTTCATGGGAACATAACAGTTCTACACAATCAACACAGGTTCAGTTCACAGGCTAGATACCCATAACAAGCTGAGCGAAGCTCCGACTCCCACCACCAGCTGCATGACCTTGGCCAGTTCTGCAAAGTACAGAGTAAGCATAAAGAAGCAAAAGGAACCGGGGGGGGGAAAGGGTAACAGAAGTGTTAAGCAGGTAACACCAGACACAATGGCAGCTAGCTGACAGGATCCTGCAGATCTGTATAGATAAGCATTTCGGCGTGTTTTGCCCTACCTAACTGGCAGTTATATTATTATGCAGCATCGATGGAATGGATCAAGGAATGGGCCAAATTAGAAGATAATAGGTTATTAGCGTTAGAAGGATCTGACTTGGTAATGGGCTGGCATGCATACCTATGGTATGGCAATGATAAAATTCACTCAAATTTTCATACACATATCATTAGAAGTGCACTTATAAAAGTTTGGAATGTAATAAAATTAATAACTATAAAAAAATACCTTTGTGGATCTCCCCTCTAGAAGCTTTTGCTAAACCCTCCTTAACAACAGGGAAAACTAAAGAGATATATGCCAACTTGCTAACAAAAGAAAATGAGTTAAAATCGGATGAGATGTTACTAAAACATAAAATAGAGTTGTCTTGGTGGGGAAAGAACACACTAAAAGCGAAATATAGTGAAGACAAAAAAGTAGGATTTCATAATCGGCAGACAGAACTAGACAAAATCTGGCTCTCATCAAGCGATAAATTGATTCAGAAGATGTATAGAAAATTCTTAGAAGCTATTATAAATGATGATGGAGCAAAAACTCCCAAGTTAGCTTGGGAGAAGGAGCTAGGTTACACAATAGAAATGAATAATTGGTTAAAAATATGGAAAACACTAAAGTTCTTGAGAGCAACACCATATAAGGAAAACATATATAAAATGTATTACAGGTTGCATTGGACACCGGATAAAATCGCTAAATGCTTCCCAGGAGCATCAAATATTTGTTGGAGATGCGGGAAGAATATAGGCACTTATATCCACACTTGGTGGAGATGCGACAAAATTCAGACTTTCTGGAAAAAAATCCATAAAATTTTAGAAAAAGTATTAAAAATTAAATACCCTTAGTACCAGAAACATATTTACTTAACATGATTCCGGACACAATAAAAGAGCATAAGTGCATAATTGCATACATACTAACAGCAGCTAGAATTTTTATAGCAAAGCGGTGGAAGTCGAAAAATATACTCTCTATAAAAGAACTTAAGTTTAAAGTGATGGAAGTAGCAGAAATGGACAAAGAGAAGAGAAGAAGAGATTGGATTTATACCCCACCCTTCACTACCCAAAGGAGTCTCAGAGTGGCTTACAAACTCCTTTCCCTTCCCCTCCCCACAACAGACACCCTGTGAGGTAGGTGGGGCTGAGAGAGCCTTGACAGAAACTGCTCTTTTTCAAGGACAGCTCTTATCAGAACTACGGCTTGCCCAAGGTCGCCCAGCCAGGTGCAAGTGGAGGAGTGGGGAATCAAACCCGGTTCTCCCAGATTAGAGTCCGCTCACTTAACCACTACACCAAACTGTAGTACAAGACAAATTGGAGGACATCTTTTGGGACAGATGGGGAATAATATATGACTGGCTAAAGATAAAGAAGATAGAAACTCGCAGAAACCAGGCTAGTTAAAAGAAGATATTATTAGAAAAGAATGTTAAGATAGAAAATCTATAAGATGGAACATGAAAAACTTTTAATTTTCTTAAGTGATTTAGTTATTGATAAAATGTTATTGATAAAATGTATATTGTTTTTGGAGACATACCAAAATTTGAAGATGTTAATTACTATAAACTTTAATGTTATTCTGTATAAACCGAAAAAAACAATAAATATAATTATATATTAAAAAAGATAAGCATTTCGGCGCAAAGCAGAACAAGCACAGAAAGGAATGCAGTAGCAATTAACTAGACACAGACTGAACTCCCCAACCCCCATGGCAGCGTAGCTGACACACTTGTGAATAGCTGCTACTGTCCAGCTGCCCAGTATAGTGAATTCTGCATGGACTGTGCAGATGCACACATTCCAATTGAGATTAAAATGTGGTTTTTGCTGCCAGAGGATGTTGTGATGGCCACAGGAATAAACAGCTTAAGAAGGGAATTAGGTAGATAAATGGAGGATAAGTCTATCAATGGCTATTACCCATGGTGGCTGAGATGAACCTCCACATTCAGAGGCACTAATCCTCTAAATCCCAGAGTCAGGAGGAGGCAACATCAGGGGAAGGCTTCAGCCTCTGTGCCCTGTTGCTGGCTGTCCAGAGGAACTAGTTGGACAGGATGCTGGACTAGATGGACCACTGGTCTGATCCAGCAGGGCTCTTCTTATGTTCAGATCTTTGTTACTTGTAAACATATAAGTCCAGGCCTGCCAGGGAGCTTTGGGGGTGGCACCTAGCAAAGATGTGACACTTCGTGATGTCATGTCCTGTGATGTCACTTCCAGGTCAAAGGACAGGTGAGTCACTTCCTAATCCCCACCCCTTCCAGTGATGTCACATCCTGCACCAAACCCCCACCCCTTCCTGTGATGTCACTTTCAGGCCCCTCCCTCAAACCTGCCTCTTCCTCCAAAGTCACCTTGTAGCTCTCAAGCATCTGACATTTAGTCTATGTGGTTCTTACATGAAGCAAGTTTGGCCACCCCTGCTATAGATTATCATAACACCATTTTTCATTGGCAGGTCTATGGTACAGTGATGCACATCAACCGTGGAAACCCAGCTCAGCATGAAGTGGTGGTGGACTCTTGGCCAGAATTTAAGGCTGTTGTTACCCGCCCATGTAAGGAGGTAGGAAACTGAGAACTAGCAAATTCTCCCCAAACTCAGTTGGCCCAGCCCAAGAGGCTGGCATCTGAGGTGGTAAGTCCAAACTATAACTTCTTCCACATGGTCATTTTTCTCCATATTTGCTTCCAAACCGGAGCATTATTTTTGGAACATCCATACAACATCATCATGTGACTAATGCTGAACCTGGATCTCAGAATGTGGATCCAAAAACTGACACACTGGGACTGGGTACAGACTGGGGAGATGTTTGTACAAACCAGGGTCAGCCCCAAGGTTTGCAAACACGCACACACACACGCACGCACACACACAATTATTATTATTTTAAATTTAAAACATTAAAAATGTGTGTGTATTTGAGTAACCTGAGCCTTGCTGTGAAGAAATAGGAAAGACCTGACGCCACATAAAACAGTCCGAGATGAAGAGAAAGAAAGAAATAGAACCTATTCAACTAAAAATGGAAGAAATAACAGAACAGATTAAGACAGAAATGGAAGAAATTAAAAACAAATAACTGAAAATAAACAGGAGGGCGAGAAAGTACAGGACTTAGATTATGAGATACAAGAATTAAAGATAAAATCCAACAAAATGGAAGAGACATTAATTAATTTGGAAACGGACAAAGCAGCATTAATATTAAGAGCCTGTCCGTGGGGAGGGCGGGGTATAAATAAAATAAAATAAAATAATAAATAAGATGCCAAAATATACCAGAAAATATAGGAAAAAAATTGAAAGAAGAATTGATACAGAACTTAGCGGAACAACTTAATATAGGAACAAAGGAAGAGGTAACAGCAGAAATTGAGGCAATTTACAGAAAAAACTCCTTGTATGCAAGAAAAAACAAGGTGCCACGGGAAGTACATATAAAATTCTATAAAAAGGAAATGAGAAATTCTTAGAGTAACAAATGAAAATAAAGTAATTCTACAAGGAGCTGAGATTAGATTTCTAAAAGAAGTACCATGGTGAGTTAGAGAGAAAAGGCAAAACTATGCAACTCTGATTAACCTTTTGAGAGCTAACGGAATCACATACAGGTGGCTATTACCAGAAGGTGTGTTATTCAATTATGGAAGTATAAGACAGAGAATAGACTCTATATTTAAAGTTGAAAACTTTCTAGAAAGACATGGAGAAGAACTAGGTTGGCAAAAGGAAGAAGAAGAAACAGAAGAAGACTTAGATACAGAGGAAGAAAACTTTGGGCAAGAAACAGAAAAAAGCCAAGAGACTGCTTCAAAAAAGTGAAAGAGAAGATCAGAAATGACACCTTCACAAATACTAACTAGATTCCAATACAGAAGTAGGGCAAAAAATAATAAAAATAAAAATGATGCAAACTAAAAAATTTAAAGTTCTTTCTATAAATGTGAATGGGCTTCATAGCCCACAAAAAAGAAGGCTATTTCACCAAATTACTAAACTACAAGCAAACATAGTATGCCTCCAGGAAACACATATAAGAAAAGAAGACTCAAAATATTTATTATTTAAAAAACTGGGAAATGCTTTTATTGCTTCAGATGTTAAAAAGAAAAGAGGCGTAGTAATATATGTAAAAGACTATCTTCAGCTAGCTGCCATTTCTCTGGGACACGTCCCGTCCTTATTCCTGCCCGTCCTCCCTCCTCTTGTTATTCTCTTCTGGTATGCTTCTGTAACTGCCAAGTTTCTCCTGCAGGTGGATGTCGGAGTGTTATGTCTTGCTGCCTGGGCTTAATTAGATTTCCCGTGTGAACTCAACTTGTGTTTATGAAATTGGCTGTTGTGATTCTCAGGCTGCTTCGCGCCTTTTCTAATCAGCTCCCTTACGAGGGAAATGTACCCATTGGGTTAACCAAGTTTGAAGTTCCTATATTACTTTGCCCCTGTGTATTGTCGTCATTCTGAACAATCTCTGTATGTTCATGACTAACCATGCTTTGGAAATAAATCTTACTTCTTTGGAACGTGGGTTTGTTCTCCTGACTTGGGATCTGACATTTTGTTCAGAATCACCTTTTCCCCCTCACCCCGAGTCTGACATCGATCATGAGCG